ACTGGGGAATAATTCAGTCATTACTAAGATGGCCACACGTGATTTTTACATAATTTCGTTTTACGAGTTTAAACTCGGTCTGAACTGTGCCCAAACGGCCAGAAACATTAATGAAGTCTGGGGCGATGGCAGTGTGAGTGAGAGCACCTTTCAAAGATGGTTTAAAAATTTCGAGAGGGAGACTTTAACCTTGAAAGAAAATCGTGGAAGGATTTCTTCAGTAGACGATGATGTTCTGCGAGCTTTGGTCGATGAAAACCCCAGAACGAACAACTCTTGCTGCTCTGAACTGTTCGAGAACTTGCAGAGAATCTTTTAGTTAGCAAATGGACCTCGCTGACCACCTTAAGGCAATTGGAAAGGTGAAAAACTTCGAAAGATGGGTTCCTAATCCATTAAAGACCGCCAAAAAATCACAACAGAAACGAACCTTTTCTGGATAGAATTGTTAATTGTGATGAAAAGTGGATTTTCTGCGATAACAGCAGGCGTACTGGGCAGTGACTCGACAAGGAGAAGCAGCACCACATTTTCCAAAGAACCCAACTCATCAAAAAAGGTGATGGTGATTCTTTGGTGGGCTTCATTTGGGCTGATTTTCTTACTACAGCTTCTTGAATCCTGGCGAACAATCAATGCCGAAATGTATTGCTCACAAATTGAAGCAATGCAATTCTTTCACCTCGCCCTCCCTATTCTCCAGACCTCTCGCCTACCGACTTCTCCAACTAATTAATACGTTGCACGGTAATATAAATTGTATATTGGAAATTAATAAAGATGGTTGTTTAAACTTTTTAGACTTAAAACTGTCCATATTAAACAACCTAATCGAAATAGCCGTATATAAAAAACCCACAAGTACACGTACATGATACCAGCGGATTCTTCTCACCCATGGGCCCAAAAGCTACGCTGGTTTCATTTCGCTCACAGGCGGATGTTAAAACTCCCTTTAATACCTGCTAACTATAAAAAACAATTAAAAACTATTTAAACCTTAACTAAAAACAGTGCATATCAAGAAATATTTATTGATAGATTGCTAGTTAACAGAATTAAAAAATTAACTTTTTAAGGAAGCAACAATTAGACTCAGCCATCCCACCAAAAATGAATCATTGGGTTTACGTTGTTTGCCGTACATTGGTGAACTATCAGAAAAAGTAGATAAAATTCTTAAACAAGAAGATTTTAGAGTAGCTTTTAGAAGTAGGCGTTCACTTAGAAACATCCTTTCAAAACCTAGAGACAAGGTTGACAAATTGGCAAAAAGCGGGGTTTAACAACTTAATTGTAATAATTGTGCCATTAAATATATAGGATAAAGCGGTAGAGAAATTAAAACGAGAGTTAAAGAACATTGGCCAAAATCGAACAAATTCTCTGAATTTAAGCACCATCTAAAAGAAACAAAACACAATTTAAATTTAAATACAACCAGTTGTACCACAATTTCAACAAAGGGCGGCAACTAGATTGGTTTGAGAAACTTTCAATTAAAAAATGTAAAATCGAATATGGAGATAAATGCATTAATATATAATAGATTTTGAATTACCTCCCATTTTAAATATGTATCTAAATAATATTAGTCATATAAATGAATCAAANAGCTATAAGCTTGAAATCAGGACGTTGAAAACAATTAACTTAAGTAGGAACTATCTTTTAAAAAGATTGAACAACACACTCACTCCATTATTTATGATTTATAATAACTAAGTATAATGTATGTCTGAGATACATTAACAACTTTATTAATTAAAGACAATCAAAAATAAAATAATGTAATGCCAGTGATATCAATTCTAGATAAGGAAAAGTAACCCTTGATCAGAGAGAGATATGTACACTAACCATTTACCCAAGACGAAATTAAAGTATGTACTAAAGACAATGATAAATGTAATACGTAAAGGTAATGTTATCCCAGAAATCCATTAACGATTTTATTCAAAGTAAACATTATTTGGAGATCGTGAGAAATGGTCTAGTGTAACGTAGGTTTTAGAAAAACATTTTCTTTATCGTACCAACGTTTCGATCTTTATTGAGGCCTGAAGATGATCTCAATAAAGATCGAAACGTTGGCACAATAAAGAAAATGTTTTTCTAAAAACTACGTCACACCAAACCGCATCTGAAGATATCTAAATAATCATTGACTAACGGTCACCAAACAACACACACTCAAGATAAAGTTAAAGAAACGCCCACAATATATCCGTTAACAATGATGACTGAAAATAATGGTTAACAAAACGTATTAAAACTTTAATACAACAGTTTAACAGTGATAAGGAAATATAACCTTAATCTAGTGAGATACATTAACGATTTTCCTCAAGATAAAGATAAAGTTAAAGTAACGCCCACATTATATCACTTTAAGTTGATCACTGAAAATAATGATTAACAAAACATATTAAAACTTTAATAGAGACAATGATCAGGTCTTGTAATGCTGTAATGATAAAGTGAACACCTATCATGGTGAATACTGGACAAAGTGGTAAGGAAATATAACCTTAATCTAGTGAGATACATTAACGATCTTACTCAAGATAAAGTAACGCCCACATTATATCACTTAAAGATGATTACTGAAAATAATGATTAACAAAACGCATTAAAACTTTAATAGAGACAATGATTAGGTCTTGTAATGCTGTAATGATAAAGTGAACACCTATCATGGTGAATACTGGACACAGTGATAAGGAAATATAACCTTAATCTAGTGAGATACATTAACGATCTTCCTCAAGACGCTTAATATTATAAAAGATACTAAAGACAAGTTGATATATGAAAACTATGAATAACCAAAATACATAACTTTACTAATTAAAAGCAATGATAAATTAAGTAACGTAATGCCAGTGAAATCAATTGTTGATAATAGAGGAGCAAGGGGGTAAGTAAAAGTAGCTTTAGTCCGGGGAGATATGAGCGATTTCACTCAAGACAACATTGAATTATGGACTACAGAGTTTTATGGTACTGATATCCATTATAGAGATAATACTGGAAAAAGTGATATGTAAAAGTAATGTTATCCCAGAAATATATAGATTAGGAACTAAACTCCGGACAATGTTTAACGAAATTTTTTTCACAAATTGAAAACGAGATTAAGTGACTTCAACCACCTTACCCAAGAATAAATAAAGAAATACCAGTTTAGGGCTTAAAAAAATAATTTACTTACAGTTTAGATGCTGGATACCTTTGGAAAACTCCAACCTTCTGCCACCTGAATGAGCACTAGAATATATATTTTTCCACTATGTTATTTTACTGGAAATACTGTTAAACTTTACATGCTAATATAGTTAATACGAAAGTCAAATTTAACAATACAATATAGATTTGATTTTAACAGTTAAGAGTTGGATATGTTTTTGATTGTTGAACAATCAGTGCATTATGCATTTTGAAGAGAGGCGGTTTTGTACTAAACGTTGAGGCCAACTTATACAAAAACCGTTGTTTTTCAGCAAGTAAAACTCGTTTTTGGGAGGAGTGATCTCTCAGTATTTTGTCATTCACTCACAAAGCAAAAGGTCGAAGGGAATGAAAGCCAGGTAGGTACACGAAAAAGTGCCTTTTTTTATGTTTTATTCTAGTACCGAGGTAGACCTTCTAACCTGGAAGAGCCCGACGGACTCAGGAGAATATTTTCACAAGTTTCAGGGCGGGCGAGAAACACCAGAACAATTATTTTTACTAGAAAAGCACTTTTATTTTTTTATGTTGGTTTTTTTTCTTTTGTTGTTTTAATATATGTATATTTTTTACAATGAACCACTCCTGGGAGGTGAAATTTTCTTCTCTATTTTTTTTAAATATATATAACAAAGCGCGTCACAATTTTTTTTAAATCTCGACTTTTCAGAATGTGCTGTGTGTCTTTTCACACATACATATTTATATAAAAAATATCACACACAATGATTATTGGTTTTTAAACAATGTACAAACGTAAATATACAACTTTTTGATAATAAAAAATAACATTGAAGCCCTTGGGCAAAAAGAAAAAAAAGATCGTTTTTAGCCTGCCGTCATGAACCAGGCCAGGCATCATTATGTTAATTATAAATAGAAATGGCAACATGGTAAAATATTTTTTCGTTCTACGGGCTCATAAAATACCAGGGATCAACGGAGGGTAAAACACCAGCACAGGCAGTCGCAAGTAATTGCAAACGAAAAAAAGAGAAACCGGAAAAAAAATCCGTAACTAAAAACACCTTAGCCCTTGTTTTCGTTCCATTTCTTTTCCACGTTTTTCATAAAATTTCAACTGATTAACCAAATGAGAAAATTTCATAGGCTAAAAATCATTTTTGAATTAGGCACCCGAGGGGGTTATCACACTGTTAAAATGTGAAAATCCGGCAAAAATGGCGGTAAATCGACAATGTCTCAACATTTTTCTTTACTAATCCCCCCTCCTTTTTGTAATTAAAAAAAAAATTAATGCAATTTTAATAATTTTTAAAAACTAAAAGATTATATTGCTACACAATAAATTCATCATGTTTTTATTGATTTTTTTTTGGTTTTCGTCTGTGTACATTTAAGTATATGTATAAGTATTGATATATATGAATATATATATCGCTTTATCAATGCTATTTATATTATATCCACATAAAAATATAAAAATCGTCAATTGTTTTTATATTTGTATTATTATAGACGTAGTAATCAAATGGCAAAACTCTTTCCAATAAAATAGAATAAAAAACTTAACTAGCCAGAAACAAGACCCTGGCTTGTGACAAGAGGGCAAAAATTGTGGTAAAATTAAAAAAAAAAAAAAAAAAAAAAAAAACTGGCAAAAACGGGATCCGCCGGTTGAAGCGGTCTTCAAAACCGGTTTGGTTTTCTTAAAAAAAAAGAGAAAAATAAAAAAGCAAAGAAATAAAACAAAATTCCATCTGGGTTCCTGATGGACCAAGATTTTTTTTTTTTTATATATCTAATAACTTAATTTTTCAGGTCTTACAAAAATTACTTGCACATTAAATAATGAATCAATTTTTTTATTAATAGAAAAAAGTAACCCTTCGGATAAACGTTAATAAACCGCGAAAAAAAAACGCAGCTAGATTCCCGCAATTATTCAACTCACGGGGCCTGTGAGAGATGAGGTTTTTATTCTTCATGGAAAGCGTTTTGCCTATACGCAGTTTTAAGTTTTACGTACCTAGAAAATAGTCTACTAAACAACAAACAAAAATTAACGACAGAACACATAAAAATTGAGCGTTAACAAATAATTAAAAAATATTATCACATTTTGGGAAGTAGTCGGTCGTCATCTGATGTGCCAGAGGCCGAGGTTGAGAGTGCTCAGTTGAGGGAGTTTCATAATCCTCTCTAAACCGGTGGTCGTTATCCTGGTGCAACCGTACAAGTCGATGCACCTGAGATGCCTCAGGGATTCGGCGATGGTGAGGATACCTTTGTCCGTTATTTTACTGCACTGACCTATATTTAAAGTTTCTAATTCGTGGAGGGTCTTTGCGAGTTTGCAGACGCCTTCGTCCGAGATCTGGCAGGCGCTCATCGAGAGGGCCCGGAGGTTGAAGAGGCCCTGTGAGACGTGGACGAGTGCCTGGTCGCCGATCTTGTCGCAGAAGGAGACGTCGAGGCAAGTGATCCGGGATCCCCCTTCGGCGAGGTAGGCCATACCGGTGTCGGAGATGTTGTCACATGACCTGAGGTTGAGCTCTTTGAGGGCGGGCATTTTTGCCAGGTATTTGAGCCCGCTGTCGCTGATGTTGACGCAGAAACTGAGGTTTATGCTCTTGAGACCGGCCAGGCCGACGGAAACGTGTTTCAGCGCTTCGTCCGTTAGCGTCTGACAGTCTTGTAACCCTAGGTATTCTAGGGCTAGGTTTCCGTCGGCGGCCCCTCGGCTCAGACCGGCCAGATGGCTGATCCCCTGGTCCGAGACGTGCCAGCACGACCTCAAATTCAGTCGTTTCAGATTTTTCAGACCCCAGGCGATGAGGAGGAGGCCGGTGTCGGTCACGTTCCCGCATCCTCCCAACTCCAACACTTCCAGGTTCTTCAGGTACTCGGCGATGCGGCCCAGACTGATGTCCGTCACCTGTTTGCACAAGGAGAGGTCCAGCTTGGTCAAATCGGGCGGTAGGTCGACGACGAAAGCGTGCGCCAGAGCGATGTCAGTCAAGTTGTAACAGCCGCTCAGGTTGAGGGATTCGAGATTCGGGATGCCCTGGACCACGTCCCTCAGGCTCCTCCTCAACGAGAGCACTTGCACTTTCCTGATGCCCCTTTTCACGAGGCTCGCGAAGAGAGACGGGTTCGCCCGCCGTAGGTGCAGTTTCGCCTCGACCCCGCGCCACACAGACTTGTGATACGAAGCGTCTCTCCAGGCGGTGCACACTTGAGCCGCTCTCCCTTTATCCCGCACTTCCAGATAGCTGAATATCAAGGCGAGGATCTCCGGGTACAAGTAGGAGACGTGCGTCTTCGAGTCCGTCGTCGCCGGGGAGGGCGGCAGGTTGAGGTGGGGGCGGTGGAGCACTGCATTACCGAACGGGTGCCGAGATCTACAAACCGGTAACTCTGTCAGCATCGATTCTGTATCTTCCATTTTAAGACATCCTAACGCTACATGACTACGACACGCTCGCTCCGATACTGACTGACACGACTCGGACCGGCCGTCGTCGTGGCGAAGGGGGGCGTTCCACCACCACCACCACCGCAGCCGTTCCCCTCTCCATTTTCATTTAAAATCCCCACCAACTCGCTCTGCCAGCCCCTCCGCGGGCTGCCGCTACCGAGTACCGTCTACCAAGCGGCTCGGGCTCGGCGGCAGCGTCGCAGCGGGCAGACGCCGCCGCCTTACGCGATCAATCCTCACAAGTCACAGGCTCTCGGCCCTTTCGAATCACTTTTCCCGTTTTCCATCGTAGAAATCGAGAGACGGACGCCTAGCACGCCCGACCGAGCCGCCGCCCCTAAAACGACTTGCAGTTTCCACCTACACGTAGAAGGGGAGTGACACACATCTCCCATATTATTATACAATATACAATTATACATAATAACGTCAGACGAACAACAAAAACGAAATAAAACCTGACCAACGATTTTCACATCACATAAACAAAACGACTGTTAAATTGACGATATCCGATATATAATAATAATAATAATATATAAGTTTATTTATCTATTTACAAACGGACAATTGCCCTATGAAAAAAAAATTAATTTAAAACTTTTAATTGTGATGTTTATATCGGTGTGTGATGGGAATATCGGCCGGTAGTTAGGTTTTTGCCTTCATGTATATAAAAAATATATGTAATTCTGTAAAAATAAAAAATGTACAGACAACCTTGAAAAAGATTTAAAATTAAATCGAAACTTAGGCCGGGATATGAAGTCGTTTTTTTTATGCCAACAACCATCGACCGATAATCCCATCACACACCGATATAAACATCACAATTATAATTCAACGGTCATCAAAAGTTACATTAAAACTTATATTTTATACCATATCACAAGTTTTTGTTATTCTTTAAAGTAGGGGTTTATTAGATGTTACAAAGTGTTAATTTGACGGAAAAAAGCTAAACAAAAAACATTTTTTGATTCTCAAAAATCTATGAAATTGGTTAAATTTCATAGACATGCTTTAGCTTTGAAACAAATGCTACCCTTTTTGAATGAAAGCTTTGGAGGAGTCTGTTCAAATTATTAATTATATCAAGTTGCAGCCATTGAAGTCAAAACTTTTCGCAATATAAAGAAATTTAAAATTTACTATACAAAAAAATTATTAAAATCCTATGCAAAATTCTTCTCTTTGAGAAAATTATTTTTTCACAACAAAATATTTAATATTAAGAAAGCTGTTTTCGTCAATTTAGCTCTTTTTTAACTTTTGAATCAACATTTTTTTTTTAATTTTAACCACGCTTTTTAACATCATATCAACAGTTTGATAGACATAATAGACTTTTTAATTTCAATTAAACTTATAAATTACATAACTTAATTATCATGTGATATTTTATATAATAATCATTTTATATTTTAATAATATCCCAAATCAAAAAAAGAAACCTTTATTTTTTTATATAATTTTAAATTTTAATTGTATGTAATTTTCATGTGAGATTTTATCTTATAATCCTATAGTTAATTTATATGTAAAAAAGTCTAGAATTAATAATAGAAGAATCCTTTACTTTTATAATTTTAAATTTTAATTGTATGTAATTTTCATATGAGCTTTTACCTTATAATCTTATAGTTAATTTATATGTAAAAAAATCTAGAATTAATAATAGAAGAATCCTTTACTTTTATAATTTTAAATTTTAATTGTATGTAATTTTCATATGAGCTTTTACCTTATAATCTTATAGTTAATTTATATGTAAAAAAATCTAGAATTAATAATAGAAGAATCCTTTACTTTTATAATTTTAAATTTTAATTGTATGTAATTTTCATATGATCTTGTAATAGAATAGTTAATTTATATGTAAAATAATCTAGAATTAATAATAGAAGAATCCTTTATTTTTTTAAGTGTAATTTGATAAATTTGAAGTTAATAAGGGTTATTTTGAAATTAAAAAGGGTTAATTGATGGAAAAAAGTATATAACGAATTAGAAAGTTCCTCACTGAAGATGGCGCAAATCCAAAACGCGTTTATGTAACATATAAACCCTCGAGTGCAGGCAGAGTGCCAATTCAACATGTGTTCACCAATTCTTAGACCATCATCCACCGAAAAATGTATAAATCTATTTTGTTCAATATTTCTTAAATTTGATAGAGAAGGCATTTAAAATGCTCTTTAAAATATCACTGAAGAAGACTTACATTAGAGTTCCAAGGCGTGAAGGCGAGTCAATATGTTATTTAGGAGTTCAAAAATAAAAATATGATCTAGCATGAAATGTCGAGAGTGTAAATAATTATTAGTTTTTGGTTGTAAGAATTGTAATATGATGACCAAACTCAAATAGCAAAATTTGCAAATGTACGGCACTTTTACTTTACACAGTTATATTTTATACCATCTCACAAGTTCTTGTAATTCTTTAAAGTAGGGGTTTATTATTATAGTGTACACAGCCTGCAAAGCTAAATACTGAAGCTAGATGCTGAATCCGACATCCGGCCCCAGTTATCAGGCTAAAACAACCTCACTCCTGTTAATTCATTAATCGTCATTGTTCAAATTATTACTTTTGAATTTGGCTCAAGTTTTACCTACCTATTGATATATTTGATGTTTGCATTTCGGATTTTGTAAATAATGTTAAGTATGAATATGTTTTCATAGTGATATCCCATCACCTAATTAGGAATGGACTGGTTAATTTATAAAACTTTAATTTACTACATACTATAAGTATCAAATTTTAAATTCTAGAATGAAAGAGGTCCGCCCTGGATTTTGTTCTGTGAAAGGAGTCCACTGGCTAAAAAGTTTGGAAAGCCCTGGTAACATATACACAAACATTATTTCTCTCAAATGAGAACAAATGTCTAAACCATTTATAAACTCATACGAAGTAATGCAAAATGGGGGAACTGGTTTAACTGACATACACAATTTAATATGAAATTTGACATTGTTTATTTTATAAATTATAATATAGCATATTGACTGTACAAAATTTCCCTAACTTTGAAATAATTCTCGGAAATCCATCCCTCTAATGATACTTTTCTGGTGTCAGTCTGAAATATTAATAATGGTTAATTACCACACACAAAGATTGTTCTTACAAGTCATCCCCAAGTTCAAACTCACCCTCTTGATACAAATAGTCCTGTTACAACACCAAAGTACACCAGCTGTAAATTCCGAATCGATACCTTTCTTTGAAAGTAACTGCTTTAAATCGGAGAGCCTCAATTCGTTAACTAGAACTGAATCATGCGGGTTTACCTATATTAGAAACAAAAAAGTAAAGTGTTTTTAATCACCGACTTAGCCAACTTTTACAAATGTAAACAATTCGCTATAAACACAATATTCTGTTTACAATAACATCAAATTAAAAATTTGGTTTAATTATAAAATTTAAAAATTCATAATCAATACCTCGGTAAGGGGCAATGGCTCAAGACTGAGAAGATCATCCTGGATGGTATCTGCAAAAAATATTATTTTTTAATAATCATTAACATTTCTTTTTTTGTAAAATGTATAATGTTTATATATTTATTAATTTCCAAAGAACATACCTTCTATAGAACTCACTATAGTGAGAATATAAAATTAAAACTTTGATTATAAATAGTGTTTTAACATTGGCATTCACTAAGAACATAATCAATACTGACAAAGGTTAGTAATGCCTTTCCCCAATAATTTTGATTTACTATATCCATATAGTTTTCACCCCAGTTCTAAGTTTGGCATTACATATAGCTTTTTTCTATCAAATTGACCTCTTTTTTACATTGAAATTGACCCGTTTTTAATTTCTAATTAACTCTTTTTTAACTTCAAATTAACTTTCTTAAACTTCAAACTAACTCTTTCTTTAAAGAATTAAAAAAAATTAGGAGATGGTATAAAATTTAAGCATGTAAATTAAAATTCCTGTTTATTTGAGAATTTTTTAAAATATGAAATAATTGGACTTTTACCATATGATAATTAATTAAAATTACAAGTTATACGGAAAAAGTTTCTATTTGTGAATTTAAATGGTTCTTATATATTGGGTTGTCCGGAAAATAATGCAGGATTTTAAGTTTTCATTAAAAAAAATCTATATAAAATATTCTGTTTACGTTTACAGGATTACNTTAATACCAAAATCCTGCATTATTTTCCGGACAACCCAATAGCTTTTTTCATCAAATTTAACCCTTTTAACTTTATATTAACTTCATTAGAGTTCGTGGTCAGATTGACCGAATAACGTTTTTTAATTAATTAATTGAAAAACGTTATTCGGTCAATAATTAATTCAATTAATCTTTATATTAACCTTTTTGAATTTCAAATTATACTTTTTAACTTTAAATTAACCCTTAATTTAAAACATTATAGAATTTCTATATTTGAGGTTTTTTGCCATGATAATTGCGGGGTTTCAGAAGACCATATAAAAATTAATTACGATTAAAATTAAAATTTATACGGTAAAAGGATTCTTCTTTCAATTTGTGAATTAAAAAGAAATACATAATTGGTTCTTATATGTATAGCTTGTTTCTATCAAATTTAACCCTTTTTAACATATGAAAATATGTTTGTCTATTTTCGTATTTAATATATACAAAAAATATGAAAACTAATTACAATTAAAATTGAAAATTATATAATATTAACAATTTTTCCTTTTCCTTTGTGAATTACAACAAATAATAAAATAAAATGGGTTTTTAATACTGTAAAATTCATTACAATTAAATTAAAAGTTTAAAATTAAACCGTTAAATCGTGACAATGCCTTTTTTATCTCAACCAATACCTTACATAAAGATTAATTAGAAAGGAGTTATTTGGTCAATCGGACCACGAACTCGAATGGATTTAAAATTGAATGCAAAAACAAATGAATCTTCAATTAATACAAGATTTTTTTTTTAAAATAGTTTTATACATTTCACCTTAAAAATTCACAATTTTTAATTTCAAATTAAACTTTTCAACATCAAATTTACCCTCTCTTTAAACAAAAAACTTAGGAGATGGTATGAAATCAAGCACATAAAGTAAAATCCTTGTACAATGTTTCCTTCAAACTTATCCTTCTTCCCGTTACATTAACCCAGTTTACTTTCTAGGCATGTAAAGTAAATTCCTGCATATTTGCATTTTTTTAATATAAAATAATTGGACTACTAGAAGACCATATGAAAATTAATGACAATTAAAATGAAAAGTTATATAAATCGCAAATATATATATATATATATAGGAATTTTAATTTACAAGTTTGTTATACACCGTACCATATCCTAAGTATTTCAATGCTTTAAAGACAGGGGTAATTTGAAGATAAAAAAAGGTTAATTTGACAGAAAAAAGGTACATAATTAATTGTCTAATTTTATTTGGCTCCCTTAAAATTTTTTGTAAACACCTTATGTATCGAGAACAGAGGTTTTTTTAAGGTTAAGTAGAAAATTCAAAGTTAAGTAAATCCTGTCATGCAAAAGGCATAATGTCCAATTACCTGTTGGGTGTCATGGACAAGGGGTATAAACCTTTTTTCCAAATTAATCTTAAAAAAAAAAAAAAATTTTGCTGATCTATGGCGGAATTCTAATCTAGAACCATTAGTGTGGCAAATACAAGTCGGGCAAAAAATCTGCACATTAATTGAATAAAACGTAATTTAGGATTGTAAATAATGATTCACACATTTTCCAATTTAAATTTGATTCAACTACAATTTACCTTCTTCGAATAGTTTTAGATAGAAATAAATACCTCCTGTGGGCTCATCTTCATCAACTTCCATCTCTGTCTGAATCGTATCTGGGGCTTTAGCTCTATATGTAGTCCTAGCATTAATCCACGCGAGTTCTGTTCCTTTTCCTTTTTGCATTTTCAGGGATGAAACCAATCCATCAGTAAGACGAATCTGAAATTTAAACCAAGGTTAATGACTATATTTAGTATATTAATCCATATATGTTTAGCAGTCATAATTGACCATATTAATTATTTGAATTAATTATTATTTTTATTTCAATCAAGACCTTAAATAAAAAGAACAATTAATTGTACTATAGAATTCAAATAACCTGTATAGTGGGTCGCAAAATGAAGCAGTAGTTAAAATTAATGGTCATTTTGCCTATGTGAAAAATACTGGATCACTTTGTCTTTTGTGACTTATAGCACTTAAATATGGTCTAATTTTACCATTGCACTTGAATTTGTAATAATGTAAAGACAGAATTTATTTTATCAAACGGTCAACTCATCCAGATGGAGTTAATCCATTTGGTTACAAATTTGTACATGAACCTACCTATTTATTCTCTCTTTATTTTTGTAAATAAATTCACTTTCATTCATGGTGATTTGATTCTTTACCTGATATATGTGGACTTCTGATGTTGCATCTACAACATCACCTTTGTTTGGCGTATATACTTTCGCTTCTGTCCAATGTGTAACATGTTTTGCTAAAGCCTCTGTTTTGTCAGGTGTTCCCCTCACCAATATCACTCGCCGAGGTTTAAGCTGGATGATCAACTTCTCCATAGACTCTCCATCGGAACGGCCTTCAAAGTCTATAAACTGTACGTTTGCTTTCAGTTCGATGCGTTCTTTTGTAACCACGCATTTTGTAGGAACTTCTGTTGACTCTAAAGGTAGAATAGGTAGTCGATTAGTGCATGCACCCAAAAAATTTAATACATTTTTGTTTGCTCATACTTCTTTAAGTTTCAGTGATGTAAGATTTTCAAAGCATAAAATAATATTCTGAGAGCATAGCATTTAAAAACTGGTACATTATTTTAGTACATTAATTACAAAAATTAAGACTGGTACATTATATCAAGAATATATTCAATGGGAAGATATTAAATCTATTTATTTACCCCAACTATTTCACAAGCTATCAGATACCTGTTGAAAACAAACCGATGAACAGGTGAAGGGAGAATTGAGATCAATGCAATTGGCAAAGTGAACAAAGCTTTAAAATCACAGCATGAAGACACCATAGAACACAATTGACTAACAAATAACTAAATTTATTAATTACAGACATGATGAAATTTTCCACCCCTATAAGTTAACTCAAAACTACTCCTTGGCCTAAAAAAATCTTTTTTACAGGAGCAACATCAGAGGTTATATCAACCCTCTGGGTTTTTGGAAAAAAGGCCCATTGGTATGTACTCAGGGTTCAAATTCAAAATTTGCAATATGTGAACCTGCGAAAACAGTTTAACAAGACTATTAACATTTAAGACCCCCTGCATACTCACCTTCAGGCCAAAATGAGATTGTTGGTTGTTTAGTATACTTAGGGTATAAATGAACAAAAGCATGGATCTTGTCTTGTTTCCTCAACTACAAATATACACATTTTTTAAAAAACGTTAGCAGTCCCTAGGACCACTATGGTATGAGGTGTTGGTTTTATTAATGTTTTAAGGTTTGTGACCACATGACTTAGGAACCCAAAACATAATACAGTGGCTATATGCACATTATTAGTTGATATTAATTGCAAAAAAAGAATCTGGACTAAGATAAATTAGCCTTAAAATAAATAAATACAAAAAAAAAGTCGCCCTCGAAGAAATCTCACTAACATGTTTGGGTATATTGTTCCAGGCCAGAGCAATCTGAAATTGAATGCATGCAAAAAGAGGTATTGTGGTCAGACCACGATTCAACCACAACTCATTAAAGCCAGGAACACACTTACCCGATGGTATGCCATGAGACGCTACCCGACGCCTTGCCACGTTTTGGTGGGGTGTGCTCATCTATCCGACGCAAGCACATGTCGCGTACAGTCCACAGCGTTTATCACAATAATCAATATCACAATCGCAACACATCTTTTGTTCTTAATGCACTATTTTGAGCAAAACCTTGTAATAAATTGTTAGCTAAATTTTACGAGCACAACCATCTAATAAATTGTTTGTTAAACTTAATTGTTTTAAATAAAGCTACTCCTATCATAATTAAATAATGTTTATAAAAACTTATTGCATAATATATATAACTTATTATGCATTTTTTATCTCGTTTAATTTGGTTTACATTAAAATAAAATGTTGTAATTAATATAATGACAAAATTACATGTATTTAGTTTGAAATAAACTACAAAAAATACGAGTGTCCTGTTCTCATGCTACCCGACATTACAAAACGGTGTAATTTTACGAGCAAAACTATGAAATAAATTGTTAATTAAATTTTATGAGCAAAACCGTGTAATAAATTGTTAATTAAATTTTATGGGCAAAACCGTGTAATAAATTGTTAATTAAATTTTATGAGCAAAACCGTGTAATAAATTGTTCCAATTTTAGTATATGTACCGCCGAAGCGAGTACAATAAATTGTTAGTTAAATTCACTATATCAAAAAATCGTATTCCGGTGTTTTGATTAATGTTCTACCAAATCATTAAAATTAATTTTTTAAGTAAAAACTAATTAATTTTTAATCACAGTTAATTTGGTTTATATTAAAATAAGTATGTTGTAATTAATATAACGACAATAATACATGTAGTTTGAGTAAAAATATGAGTGTCCGGTTCTTTTGTCTTCGACTGTACTCGATGCGACCCGACGAAAATCTGGACAGTGGGGATCGCGGAGCGTCGGGTAGGTTAGCGTGGCATAGCATAGGGTAAGTGTGTTTCTGGCTTTAGGCGGTCCCAGGGAACGTAAAAAACATGTCATGGGGTGAGGGTTCACTTGGGACATTGGTGCTTTACATGTTAAGGGAACATTAACACAACCAGTACAACTTTATGTGCTCCCTCACTCAAACCAACAAATAAATAAAAAATAAATAAATAAAAAAAATAAAACAAGAAAGCCCATGGACCTATTATTTTTAATAATTCAGCTTCTACTCGTTTGTTTACCTTAGAAAAGGTCTTGTCGCCATCACACAAATTTAGAATTTAATAATTATTACAAGGAAAATTTCTAAGCAATTGGAAATATGCATACAGGCCCAAAAGTCATCTAAGTTGGAAAAGGTGCTTCTTCAGTTTGAAGAGACATATACAAATAATGAAATATCATGTTGTGCTCATTGATACAGATTCCTACTCATGGTAGAGGAAAAGCCAAAGCCTGAGGAATACACAGGAGCCATTAATAAAGATCTGACAAAAAGCTTTAACTTTAACAAAGAGCACTAGATAATGATGGGCATTGCACAATAGCCTAATATTGTTCATGGTGCATGAGGTCATAAAAGAGGCTGACTCCTTTTAACCTTAACAATCTAAAAAAGGCGAAAGATTTATTCGTTATAAAGGGCCTTATAAGAGTCCTTAACAGTCTAAAATAACAAGTGCCTTCTCTCTACTCCAACAACTTCCAAATAGGGTTCTTGTGAAAATTGCACACTTGTTGATGTCATGGCATTGTTAGAAAAATGAAAAAAATAAACTGAATAGCTCAGGGGAGTGATAGGATCTATAATGACAACAGGCATCAGCGGAAACATCTACAAAACCTAGGAAAAGTTAACAGCCTAATGATATCTTTTGGGAACCAGGGCACAATGGAATTTTTCATAATGAACAAGTTAGTCAAAATAGCCAAAGGAAGGTTTTTAAGGACAAATAAGTGGCCAGAACCTATAATTGGAATAGCAAGATCAAAAATAGGTTCCTCTTTGATCTAATAATGGGTCAACACAAGGAGAACTGTATGATCTCAAGAGGTATCAAACAAAGTAAACTCATGGTTAAAGAACCATTACTAAAACTGGTACATTGCTATAGTTAGACAGGGTCCTCAAGGGAGTGATAAACTGTATACCGGACAGTGGCACCAGACAAAACCTGTACACATGTGTATATTAAATGATGACCTCCATTTATAAATTATGTAATGAGGAAGAAACTGCCACTCATATTATCTTTGAATACAAACCAACCAATAAAGGCCCTAAGGTTCCAAGAAGACCCAGGAATTGCAACAATAAATTAGGAAAAGTACCACAAGCCAAAGGCTGCAGTGCTTGCAGAATACCAAACGCTTCCTATTATCTTTTACATCATCATCTTATCTCTGACATGATTATGGCTTACAGTGGTGCAAAATGGTCCTCAACAACTGATTCAAACATTAAAAACAACAAAACCACATTTTAAGGCTTGTAATCGGTGCAAAATGAACATAAACTGAGACTTAAAACCGATACTGAGTAAGCATTATTACCTGGAATTACTTCTTTCTTCTTTTTTACAGGTTTCTCAATGGAAATTGTTGTTCCTTCGAGTGATTTATAATTTTCTAAACTGTAATGAACAAATTTGCATTAGAAAAGTGTAACACGATATAATAAAAGTGACTGCTTTACATGATAAGTTCACCGTAGTCATCAAATTTAATCTTTTGGTCATTTACAGGATACATAGGGTAAGTTTTTCTAGCCGATTTGCGACTTTTTCGTTTCTTTTCCGGTTTTATAACCAAATCGTGAGTCCCTTTGCTCACACTGAGCAACTGCAATTCATCTTCAGAAGAGCTCTCCTTTTCTTCTCTGGAATAGTACAAATTATTATTGGTATAGTCAATAAGAAATATTCAAACCACTGTGTACAGATGTTGTAGTTTATGATTCACTCACAGAGCAATTCAATTAACCAATTTATCAAATCATCAATGCTAATGTACCTGTAAGTATACTAATAGCCTTATTTTTTAGTGACCAAATTTGGCTGAAAGCCATTGTAATTTAAATGTCATTATTACACGGTTAATAAAAGACCAACTAATTAACATTTAAGATAAAATGAAAAAAGACCAATATAAGGCAAAAATACCTTCATTTTTATTAATTTTAATTAATTTTGTGGTAAAAATATTTAAAAAAAAAAGATTTTAAATCTAAAACGTTGGTTATTTCTTGAACTAAACACACCAATTTATTTTTATTCAATTTTATAAAAATAAATTGATGTGTTTAGTTATAAAAAAATCAACATTCTAGATTTCTAGATTTAAAGTACCTGGGGGACCGCGGTAGCCGAGTGGTTAGCATGAGAGACTCTCACGCCGCGGTCGTGGGTTCGATTCCCACCGTCGCCTCTGGCCCTTTTTTCCCGATAACCCCCAATTTGAACACACAAGAATTCGTACCATGGCTAATATGCAAGATCATAAGGCTAATAANTTCTGAAACCTACATCACACCAGACCGCATCTCACGATTTCTAAATAAATATCGATTAACGGTCACTAATCACCACACATTTATTTTTTATTTTTGCTCTTTTGTAAAACTTTCTTAATTACTCCCTTGGAAATATCAAAGTCTAATAAAGTGTTAAAAAATATCTACTTTCAATTTGATATTATAAATTTAATTAAAAATTTCCACAAACTACACAATTCAAGCATATGCCACTGTTCCCATGTAGCTTACAAATAAAATAACTCCTTGTAGAATGCTTAGCTCATTCAGGGGCTGTCATGTTTTAAAAATGTATAGTTATTTATTGTTAATGTTATATATGGAGAGGTAACTTTTCTTTACTAACAAGAGGCTATGGATGTGGGATCACCAATTTTATTGAAACTTTTCTCGGTGATACTGGATCCAAAAATATTAGACACGTGTCGGAGCGTGGATCGAGGATAAGAAAATAATATGCAAGAATATAATAAATGAGACTGTATAGGCCACTAATTTTGGTAGCTAGTCATGGGTAACATAGATATTGAAATACAAAATTTGTGATATAGCAATAACAAAGTAGGGTAAAATACTTTTTTAGCAAGAAACAAAGTTGATATTTGTGCTCGTGTAGGAGAAATATGAACTGGAACGTCTTAAACGGTGGTTTCTGTGTACTTGGCCACATAGGTCTGTCTGGAGGATAAAAAAAAGGTGGGTGAGGCAACTAAGGCTAGGACATCCCAATCTCTGGACTTAACCACCGTGTTACAGCCCTCTGATGCTAAAAATCCAATGAAAAAACATGATTAAAAGAAAATGGCAGTGTCAACGGGCCAGATCAACAAAGAAGCTTACACGTATCAAGAGCATTGTTGATAGGTGGCCCTCAGAGGAAACAGGGTTGTTTTATTGTATATAACACTGATATTTTTGTAGCAATAGCATGTGTTGAGAGTGACTGTATTTATTGGCGTGAATGTTTAGTGTGATAGAAATTCTATAATTCTAAATAATAATAAATTCTATATCATGGGTATAAAAAGTGATGGATGATTATTGTGTCCTCCACCACCCTAAGTGAATGGGTTTGGATCTAGGAACTGCATGCATTGGGTGCTGAATTGGCCTAGCTGTTGACAGCATCTGGAGCCCAACCTCAATGGCTGGACGGATAAGACCGAGGTCTACCCTCGGACTGCCAACACCTGAGATGGGTGATTCTCGATCCCTGCCGGTATTTAAATGTTAATTACAAAAGCTGGAGACTGCAAGAGTGGTAGACCCAACTTTGTATGCCTGTGTATGTATGTATATACACACATGTACAGATTTGAGCTTACATAAATCACAACTTGATATTTGTTTATCACACCTAAAAGAACTCTGAATACACATTTTCAGTTAAATAAAAAAATTGAATTTTCTCCCAAATTTTGTTTTCCTGATTTATTTAAAAAAACACAAAAATGGTAATAACTTTGAAACAATTCAACTGATTCACAGGAAAGTTTACAGGCATTTAGAACCCTGTAATCTATTCATAATATCACAAACTTGGCCTCATTGAAAAAACAGAACTGGACATATAAAATAAAACATTTAGGGAGTTTTTGTTGAATTCATCCATCCTTTTCTCACTTATAAAAGCACATCAAAACTAAATTGACTGGCTTAAAGAAGAGTAATGTAGTCACGGACATTGGATAAACAACCCAAGTAGTTATGAATTTGTAAGCCAAATGTCATTTCATGTTTGCTATAAAAATTTGTATTTCAGAACTTTAAAGAGTGCTTCAAATTAATACTAAACCTTTTTCTTAAAAACAATTTGTTTTTTACCTACTTTACTAAAAAGCTTGTTTTGGTTTTTGTAACTTTTTATATATCTAATCTCATTTAATACAATCCTGTATATTATATTATTATCCTTGGTAAAAAAAACTTGACTGATATACGTATATANTATAGTCTAGAAAGTTTAGAAACACGTCAAATATTTTATATAGCCATCATTTTTACATCTTATTATATACTTATTATTATTTCCTAAAAACTAAATGTTATAATACTAATATACGCTTTATACATAATTATTTATACAATTACATTAATATTCCTAATAAAACTATACAATTCATGGTATACAGCTAATTCGGTTGATAATGTTAGAGCTTGCGTTCATTTGTATGTTTCTTGCAGTGCATGATGATGTGTTCAAGATCCTCATATATTCCGCAGTCCTCACAGTTCAATGATGGGATTATGTTAAATCTGTTGAGACTGCACAGTCTGTGATTGGATCTTATCTTTACTATCGTTTTGCAAAATGCCTTGGTTATAGTAACTGCTTTGGTGAACTAAGGTTCATGAGCTAACAACAGAATCGAATTTTTGAATCTTATCCCTTTGTTATTTGACAGGTATTCAATTTGCCAATCTATTTGCAGCTGTAATGTTAATATAGCATGAAGATCTTTTCTGGGTAAAGGCGCTTTTAGAGAATTGCCCGTTGTTATAGCATCTTTGACAAGCCGAACTACGACATCATTATGTTTGAACCCTGTATGGCCTTTGATCCAAGTGATTACTATTTTATGCTTTTTTTAAAAAGATAGTTCCTACTCACAGTAAGTTGGTTTGCAACAAGCCGGATTTCGAGCCTTTTAGCTCATCATCAGGTGGAAGGACTTCTACAACCACGTCTCTCGACATGAATTGCCAAAGTGAAGCCGCTGATACCTCTGCCAACGCGACGCTCCAATTAGCAGCTGATTGTTTTAATGGCGCTCAATTTGAACGTGCGAAACGCGGAAATTATAACACAAATAAATATTATACTAGTAAATACTTAATNTTTGTGTTATAATTTCCGCGATTCGCACGTTCAAATTGAGCGCCATTAAAAAAATCAGCTGCTAATTGGAATGTCGCGTTGGCGGAGGTATCAGCGGTTTCACTTTGGCAATTTATGCCGAGAGACGTGGTTGTAGAAGTCCTTCAACCTGATGATGAGCTAAAAGGCTCGAAATCTGAATCGTTGCAAAACAACTTACTGTGAGTAGGAACTATCTTTTAAAAAAAAAGGATTGAACACCACACTCACTCCACCATTTATCATTTCTACTAGTTTATGCTCTTTAGATCTGATCATTTCTACAAGTTTAAGGATTTCTATAATGATGTAGTCTGTGTTACACAATTTTTTGCCATTGTGAAGTTTGTACACACAACTAAGGCAATCTGTACGTATGACCACTTTCAGGAATTGATTGAATAACAAACAATTCCTGAAAGCGGTCGAACAAATAACTTTACTTAACAGACATTTAGGCTGATTTAAACTTCATTCTTAACGTTTAAATTTAAAATGGCATTATAAGAATTGTAAAAATTGTAGTTTGAAACATGAAAAAATAAAGAAATGAGAATAAAATACAAAACACATACCTTGAAGTCAATATTATTGAGTTCTCAGGCTGACTAGCCCACTCAATGAATAGGTCTCTTCCAAATCCACATTCCAAATCTGGCATGCTAGCCAAAACTACCTAAATAAATAAAATATCACCATTTACATTAAAAAAATCATGTAAAAAAAGTCTTAGAATTGAAGTAGAAGTGATATGGTTTAATCAAATGAAATATTAAACAAAATGTTATCTATAAAGTTAATTTTAAACCTAATAATATTGTTATGCTCACCACTTTGGATGCTTGTAATTTTAGTATATCATTAACACTATGACACAATCGGATATTTTTAAATTGGAATGGGTTGTTCCTTACTGCTTCAAAACTTTTCATCAGCTTATCACTCATCCACTCAATCTGTAAAGAATAAATGTTCTTTTGTAATGTAAATGTATTTATTCAATTTATTCTGTTTTATTTGTATGATGGTTCTTATCTTTTGTGGATTGTCTACAGCAAGAGTAGGTATATCAGAAGGATCAGAAATGATCACGAAACAAAATTGATTTTTTATTAAAAATCCCACTTTCTGGTTGTAAACCTATTTGATTACAGAGGGCTGTAGTTTCAAGTCAAAAAATAATAAACAAAATCTAACAATTAACAAATTTTAGACCTTGGCTGATTTAAACAATGGATCAGTAACTGAAAGCGCTAATGCAGATAAAATACGACCCTGCCCTTTACTAGTAACTAAGGATTTACAAAAAAAAAAAAAAAATAAAAAAAAATAAATAAATAAATAAAAGTACATTTGACATCTAAATCATTTGAAAATAAATATTTTTTTCCCCTCCATATAAAAATTACAAAACAGTAACGAAGTTATGATGAAAAAAATAAAAAAATGAATACCACATTTTCCTCCTACACACACATTCCTGATTAGTGATTTATATAAGCTCAAATATGCATCTGCATGTACACACATATGCACGTGTACAGAATTGAGTCTATCACTTCTCAGTTCATTGGCAATTCCAACTTTTGTGATTTACAATAAATTACCGGCAGGCCTCAAGAATCACTTACCTTGGGTGTTGGCAGTCCGCCGTGAGACCAGTCTTATTCGTCCCGCCACTGAGGTTGGGCTCCAGTGACTATCGAAGCTAGGTCATTTCAACCCCTCAATCTAATCAGTCTCCCATTCACACTCTCACTCACTAAATTACATTCTTTCCTATTTCCTCCTACCCAATCCTGTGCCATTTCTTTCAGTTAGGGTGGTGGAGTACTTGATATTCCTCTATCATCTGCCACATATATTATAACTAACATAAATGAGGGTTGATGGGTTATTCAATATTCCGCCATCGGCCCTTCACACATGCAATAAAACAACTGTTTTCTCCAAGAATTGAAACAGGAGACCATACTCGTTACCATGATCAAACACAATTCTCATATCGGGTAGCATTCCTTCAAGCTCTACATGAAGCCAAGAAATTGCACTTTTGAATTAGGTGGGACATATTGAGCAACCTATCTCTGCATGCTGGACCCGTACGTGAGTTTGCGCACAAAAGTAAGCGTCAGTGTGTCAACATTGCATGGCCTATTCATAATGGGCAACGATGAACCAACTTCTATGAGTCAGATCCTCCGAGGGCCACTTATCAAGTGCTCTTGATGATACATGGGATCTGCCGATCTAGACCACCAATGCTATGTAACCACCCATGGGACCAGAACCACATATAGGTGAACCAGAGTGTGTGCTTAAGATGGAACTGGAAAAATTGACTTGAGAAGAAAAACTCAACAACGAAATTAAGAGGCAAGCTAAGAGATTTATAAATCTCTCAAAAAGAAAGGCGAAGGAACTCCTCTCTCTCAGCAGGCAGGATTTGAGGAAAATTATAGGTCACTATATTGGCCACTGCCCTCTTAACTACCACCAAGTATGATGGGGTAAGCAGAGACATGCCAACTCTGTCAGGATGAACCAGGGGCATCATTTGTGAATGTGAAGCATTAGCCCAGTTACGGTACAGCCACTTTGATAGGGCATTTCTCACACCACAGGAGGTCCTTGAAGGGCACCAAGGTGCTTTGTCCATGCTTAGTCTTGTAGGAAAAGTGCACTTTTGAAAGTATAGTTATAGGGGTTCCATAATAAAATAGGTTGCAGTGAGTTAAGGATTTTTAAAATTCCCATTCATCCCAAACGAAAAAAGTCCTATACAATCTCACAATTATTAAAAATAATGAATTTATTCACCTATTGTAGCTGGATTATGCAAAGATCTACTGTAGAAGTATAACCAAATTAATAAAAATAAGTAGAATATTAATTTTTTCCAGAAGAACCACAACACATTCATTAGGCGAGTAAAAATAATTCCTTTATTACCTGAGATTTTGCAAACTCGACCACATTGTAGCTAACATTATTTAATAAGCACAAAGGATGATTTTGAAGTCCTGAGCTTTTGTTCCTCCAAAGTTGATCAAGCATATGTGCCAGTTCTAAAACACGTCCAGCTGTATCGACAGCTATGAGAATGTTTCCCTTGTTTCTTAAAGTCTGAAGAATATTTGCTGGAAGAATACAAAAACATATATATTTGTTTTGAACATGCATAAAACAAATATTTTTTTTTTCTTACTCATAAGTCGCTCGTCTCGTAACCGCCGCCTAGCATGTTGATAAGTACTGTTAAACGCGTCGGTAATTAAAAGGGAAGGTCTTTGTAATTTGTCAATATCACAACCGTTTAAATGTCTTTCTTTTTTATGATTAAAATCTATTCCATATATTATGTCTTCTTCACCAGTTTTATTGATTTTCCACATGGTTCCACCGATCATATGTCCTGCTGGCATTGGTGTTATGCTTAGTCCGTAGCACTTTCCTGTAAATAATTAATTTGTATAAAGTTCAGTTGTATAAATTTTTTTTTAAACGTTTACTTCAAAGAAAATTTAGTTGTCTGGTAAATTTTGGATATATCAATACTACTTTGTACATACCTCCTTTCATTTGGACTGTTTGGTTATATTTAAGTTGTATAACTTTGTCGAATGCAGCATCAACATCATCTAAATTAAATAATGTGAACTCCTCTATATTATATCGTGACTGACAAAAAACGTAAAATTTATTTGATTAATAACTAGTTTGAATTCATCATTTAAACTTTATTTACCTGATATAAATCGTACATAAACATTTGGCCCATTTTATAAACTGGAATTGTGCAATAAATGGGGCAACTCAAGCCACATTTTCCAACTAAGTATGGAAGCGCTCCAAGATGAAGATTGTCTGGATATGTTAAGAGAACTGCATCAATTTGATTTGTATACCTTGAAACAAAAAATGTCAGTAATTGACTCAATTGATGACATTACAAATGAGGACACCTATTGGCCTTAAACCCTTTTGCGGCATGCCAAATTGCCACAAACATAGTGGAATCCATTAGACAATAAGATCTAATCAAGATTAAATCCTTGATTCAATAGGAATGAATTCCAGGAAAAGTTCATCAGAGGGCCATCGAAGAAACTAACAGAAGAACTACTAAACCTATGATGTGATACGACTTGAATGACAGTAGGACAGCTGACTCTAGAAAAGCAGAAACAAGCCTTTGAAGGTATTGCCAGGATGAAGAAGAATCAGCAGACTGTATCCTCTATTGGTGCAAAGGGTGGGATTTGAAAAGTCTAGTCATGAATGATACACACTGGAACTTTAATCAAGCTTTATGATCTGATTAAAAACCTTAAGCATAACAAGATGATGAGATTGCACAGACCAATATTAATTGCAAAGAGGCCAACTGCTTTTAACTTTAACCTATAAATAAAACTTGTACTTTTGATAAGACAATAAGACATGCTGCAACAGATTAAGTGATGTTAATTTTTATATTATTGGATTTGGTTATGTTTGTCATTAGCTTTATCACTCCTTGATAAATAGGTCATATTTTGTTAGTTTATTTTTTCATAAGAATGTAGAAAAGAGACAGGAATAAATAAAAACAACACAACTCTAGAAACAATATAGCAATATGCTGAAACGATCCGACTGTTAGGCCACAGTAGCTAAGGTAGACCAGGACAACGGGCAACAACCAAACTATAGATTACTACTATGTAGTACAAAAGGCAATTCCTTCCTTATTGGCTGTTATTGTTATTTAATATTATTACCTATGTGTTATTGCGATTAATGCCAATTTCTAAAACTTACAAAATATTTGTTCACACTGCAATGAAATGCAGTCATGAACCCCTACTGGATTCACTTCACAATAGTTTCATTGATTACCTTTTCAATTCTTTAATAAAGTCCGGGTCAAAGTGCTCGTTCCAACCGCAATCCAACAGAAACCTAAAGTCATCAATTTGTAATATGTAGCATGGTGGACTTTCATCTTTGGCTCCTGAGAGAGCTTGGAACTTTATAATTGATGTCATCGGTTCTGTCTAAAACAAGAAACATAGATTGGTTAATAGTTGACTCATTTGACCATTATTATACTAGATCATAAATTTGGTTGTTAAGGGGCGTTGGTGGCCGCAACAGTTTTGGCATTGACACAGTACTCATCACTGTAAAGTGAAGGTCCTTGGTTCGAATCTGGTGGTCCTACATTCAAACCCTACATACATACCAAAGGGCTTTTTTTCAAAAACACCGACATATTTATGTAACACTATGCATTTCAACCAAAAGAACTCACAATATAAAACTACAAATATCATTCTGTAATTTGTTTAGCATTAAGCCATGATTTATGTTTTGAATTAAAGAATTTCTGTTTGAGGATTATTTGATAAAATGTAACTCAACATAAAAGAACGCTTTAGACTCCTATACATTCAACTCAAAGCTGATTTGGTAATGCCTAACATATTTCCAACTCCTGTGAAAACGAAATCAATTAAATCTGATATGGGTGCAGTACACGAGGATATTAAGGTAACGAAAATACTGACAATATAGCAAAAGCAGGAGTCCCTCACACCCTTTGTACCAGAACTGCAAATCAGCATGCCCCAAAGTGTGCTAAACGCAGAACAGTACCATCGGTGCCCAGTGGTTAGGACATCAAACTTGTATTGCTATGCTTGCGGCTCTGGGTTTGAATCTGGCACAGCCCATGGCATAGATAGTTTTGAGAACAGGAAAAAAAATGGCGAAATGCTGAAATGCGTGCGTCTGAATTAACAAAAATCTGTGAGGATAGGTAGACCAGGATGATAGGTAATTATCAAAAAATAGGTTTATCACCCTGCAGACCACAAGAGGAATCTCAAATATTCTATGGTGTTTTGACCCCTTTGAAGTTGGACGATAGCCTTCCTGTATGACAGGAATTACGTTACTTTTGGGATCTCAGTAGCTGCGTTGTTAGGGCATTTGACTCGTATTCGCCACACTAGCTCTTCTGGGTTTAAATCCTAGCACAACCCATGGATCTTTACTTGGAAAAATATATTGAAAAGTGGTTTGAACCCCTCGTCGCGACATCCAAACAGTTTTTGGACTTTAGCCCTCCTGTATGACAGGGTACTTTTGGGACCCTGGTGGCTGAACAGTTCGGGCGTCCAACTCATATTTCCCGTGCGAGCATTTCTGTGTTTAAATCCGAGTTGTACTTTAAGCTGTATGCCAGGAATTAGAATAATAATCTGCTTGAAATAATTTTTAATTGTGAAGCGACAAGTAAGAGGCATGAGATAATTCATAAACCCTCATGATCGAGTCTCAAGATATACCAGGGCTTCCACTGTCAATGGACATCTTATAAATTCAATAGATAACTAATAAACTATTTTTGTACGTCCATGATGGATGACGGAGATCAGTGTCTCAAGAAACAAATGATGGCAACAGGTCGATTCTTTTCACAAAACCAGAGCCACAAACTGTGTCAATTCAACGCAATCCGTCCAGCAGAATATAAATAAGATTTACTTAACTCATCTTCAAAATGTTAAGTGCTTTTTAAAGCCAGTTTTTGCACATGAGACTAAGAACACTTACACAGAAAAACACGTCTTTTATCAAATTTTATTCTGTCGGCGATCAATACGCCGCATTGATTACTGGTGAATGTCAGTATCTCCATTATTTTATTTTCCGACCGCAGAAACAAGATGTGAGCTTCTATTGAAATTTGGCCCAATAAAACATTTGGTAAATTAAAGAAACAAATACCTAGAGATTAATAACTTGGAGGAGCGTTGTTTACATCTAGAGGAGGTTTTAGCTTTGGATCGAAAAATCACCTGTACTCAGTGCAGCCAACATAATTTTCCTAAATAAAAAACACTGTAATCATTAATCAATTAAAGTTAACGCCAAAGTAATTTGTGTAAAGGTTCATGTTTCCGTTGAAATGCTGCCCAGAATCCATAAATGGGCCGATAATGGACTGCTTCTCTCGTAGCTTGCTCCCGTCGTAACTTGCTCTCATGTTGCCGAGAGGAATGTACATCTTTTTTGTTTCCGTGCTTAAAATCAGAAGTGTAGGCATTCCTTACTTTAAAATTTAGAAGTTATTTTCAGTTTAATTTTCTGTTAATTTATAATCACGGGAGTAAAATCCGTCAGCTACCGGTAGAAAAAGGTTCGGACAAAACCTAGCAGGTTTCGTGGTAATCTTGGCCATCATAATTGGTAATCTTGGTCTCTGCTATGTTGAGGTACTGCAACGCTGGGTTCCGAAAAGAAGATTGCCGAGGAGGATTACACACCCTTTCACCTCAGTTATTGAGGTTTTATTTAATTTTAATATATATATAATTATTTTCATTATCGGTTTCGTGACCATACCTGCGCGCGCCCTATTGCTATTGGTGCCTACATATTCAATGGTTCTCCGAGCTAAGGTAAAAACGTTTAAAAAACATATCAATTTCAATTTAAACGACTATTTGAGGTAAGGTTTGCTATCAGCTCTCTAGGAATTAAACTATTCACCACTATCGTTTTTATTGCCACTTCGTATTTTTTTCTCTTTGGCTTATTAAATTCTAATAAAAACGGTTTTTCGAAGTGCGATAACTTCTTGCAGAAAATTTTCTTTCCAAAAACAAGGCCTACGTTAAAAAATAATAATTTCGTTTGTTTATTAAACTTTGAGTACAAGCATAGAAGCTCTCTTTTTATTTTACTTCTAATCTAGTCGACTTGTTTATTTTCTCATCATGTCGAAGAAAGAATCTTAACATTCAACCGACTTCAGGTTTAATAAAAAAAAAAAAAAATACTAAATTGACATTATAAAGCGTTGATGTTTTTGCACAAGCAACACACATTTGGGATAATGTCAAAAGCTTATATTTTCGGTTTATGACACACTGGAGGCACAATGCGCGTCCCTCAAAGACCGAAACTACTCCAGCCAACATCAGTTTCATGGATGTTCTTTATTCTATTGAGGCAACTTACTCTAGATTAAATAAGGAGGAAGAATGCGACCTGCTGTCATTACCACACCGCATGTTTCTAATGCATCCTTCTTCATGCGTCCAAAAATTCCTCTTCTCCATTGAAATGGTCGAACTGAAGATTGACCACAACTCATTGCGCGGTACGACTCTCTTGTTCATAGTGTGCAAAATTTACATGCTTCCAAGTTCACCTATCTAAAATCCTCATTAAAGGATGAAGTCCTTTTTGTCATTTCAGGATTTCAGATGTCTTATGAAAATTGTCCGAATGGCAATGGTTTGCATTATTTAAGCCTGTCATTAGGTCGAAAGCCGTTTGACAAAAGTGACACCGGAGCCGAGGATGTGCCTTCTGCTATCGCTCTGCGTGAGCATAAGGTTGAAAAAAATGATTTTTTAATATTTTTTATTTATTTATTTTTTTAATGAGATTTATTTTAATTTTTTTTTCGCAACAGCAGAGTATAAACCCTCGGGGTGCCGGTGTTTTTGAAAAAAAAGCCCATTTGTATGTCGGGTTCGAATGCACGGCTGCTGGATTCGAACCCGGGACCTTTACCTTACCGTGATGAGCGCCGTGTCAACGTCTAAACCGTTGCGGCCACCGACGCCGCAAATGAAAATTAATTTGTGGGGAACTGACTTATGGTGGAAAGTGGAGAAGAAAAAAACGCATGCTTCCGGCTCTTGCTCGACGGCGATGGGCTGGATGTTGGAGTTCGTGCCCGAATCCGCACCTGCTCCTGTTGGTAAATCGTCGTTGAACTTGTTCGTTTTATTGCACGTTGTGGTCTCCCTTCGTAAATATGGTCAGATCTAGGGCGGATTCGGTGCTTTTCCTTCACTTTAAGGAAGTGTTTATTTTCCTTCAGAAGCATAGCGAGGACATCTGGGACCGTTTGTCCAAACGCGAAATAAAATAGCGTTTTTCTCCTCCTTATTTTCCACATTTTGGAGCGGTGTGGCAGCTATCAAACCGGCCAAGAATTTTCTAGTACTCCTGATCGGAACGACTTCGAAGAGTATTGTACTTTGTTTTCCAGAATTGAAGCTTCACTAACAGTCGACTCTTGTGTCCCTTAAGTGCGGATCCTGCTGAAGCAGTCCTATTTTTGAGCCCTAGCCTTTTCCTCATTGGCGCATCACTGCTCTCTTTTCCAAAATATCCCATGTTTTACTCAAAGAATCTGCGAAACTGCTAGGAGAGACAACAACAGTTGATTGGTCAAAGGAATATTTGAACTCGCGCATATAATGCCGAAAATGGGCCCTCCGTCCGAAGTCTCCCGGTGGGTGGTGTACTTGAAAGGAACCAATTCCCATCCTTTTTCATGACCAATGGGCCGCATTCAACTCTTCTCCATGGGAATGACGAAGTTCCGCGTCGTCCATATTCGCACTACCTCCCGTGTGTTCACCTCGTTCTGTGTCAACCCTTGTTCCTGGGTGCTTAGAATAATTAACTTTAGTTAAATTACTTGTAAATATTGTAAATAAAAACTTAACTTTGTTTCTAGAAGATAGAAAGGTAATTTAATTTTGATGGGTGGTATGTTTACGCCAAAGTACTAAGGTTCATATTTCAGTTGAAATGCTGCCCAGAATCCATAAATGGGCCGATAATGGACTTCTTCTCTCGTAGCTTGCTACCCCAGGACCTCGGCTATGTTGAAGGTTTAGGTGCTGCAATGCTGGGTTCCGAAAAGAAGATTGGCGAGTAGGATTTCACCTTTCACCACAGTTATTGAGGTTTTATTTAATTTTAATATATATAATTATTTTCATTATTGGTTTCGCGACGACACCAGCGCGCGCCCTACTTAACGGCGCCTACAATGATTATGACAGAAAAATATTTTATAGTAAACAGTATTAAAGCACTTTAACAGTTAAAATATCAAAAATTAAACTTTAAAATCTTAAAATTGTTTTATAACTAATCGAAACCCAATTTTTACGATTTAACTATTTCGGCGGAGGGGGCGCGAAAAGGGCGTGGCCTTTTTTCATTATAAAAAGTTCAAACGAAAAAAGTTGGCACAATTGCCTTTAAATATTATCTATTGATTTTTTAGTTCTTGTACATACAAACTTGAAATTTCGGTCATTTTATTCAGAGGCGTTTAATTTGTTTGAAAAAACAAAAAACAACAAATTTATGTCATCAATCACAAAGAGAATATAATAAAACTAAATCGTTGATTATTTATTTTTGTTAGTTTATTGTTTCGAATTATAAAGTGTACATAAATTGACGTTCAAAACTGTGCGTGTGAATTAAATGCTGATATAGATTTTCTCTTGGGGGAGAAAGCAAGAGGGTCATGAGTAAGAGGGGACTCCACCCTCTCGAGCCCTTCGATTGAGCGAAATCATTCTATTAATTTGAGATTTTTTCAAATATATAATCGCAATTGTAAAGATATTTTACTTTTCATTGTTATATTTCATACCACCTCCTAAGTATTTTTAATGCTTTAAAAAAAGAGGTAATTTGAAGTTAAAATGGGCTAATTGGGAGGTGAAAAACGTTAATCTGAAATAAAAAAGAATTAATTTTGTGCAAAAAGGGTTAATTTGAAATAAAAAAGGTTAGTTTGAAGTTAAACAAGTTAATTTTAAATTAAAAAGGGTTAACATAAGAGTAAAACAGATTGATTTGCAGTTAATGGGCTAATTTGAAGGTAAAAAAGGTTAATTTGAAATAGTAGTTGAAGTAGTCTTTTTGTTTTGTTGTCATATGCCGGCTTTTACCAGTGTTTGATGTGTTCTTTAGTAACCCAGCATTCATTTTTTTAAAATGTGGTCATAGTTTATACCACAAAATATAATTGTTCAGAGGCTCTCTTTTTAGTTATGTCTACTGCCTCGTTACCTGAAATTCCCTCTTGACCTGGGACTCACCTTAGCGTCAGATTATTTGATCCCATTTTTTAGACTAGTTTTGAGTTGATTTCGTAACCTCGGAGAGATTTCTGATAGTACTATTATTGTTGCACTTTTGAGATGTTTATTAATTATTTCATGTGGATGTGTTTCTATGGCTAGCAATTTGGCTTGAAAGTTCAGATGGAGCCAAGGGACATGTGTTGCACATAGTTAGTAGATCCATTTATGTCATTCCCGTATAATTTCTCATCTTTAAGCTGTGTACAACTTAGAAGAGCTTCAGGTTTTTTTTTGTTTTCTCTTCCAATTGTGCTCTCTTTTCAGTAATTATGTTGAACGGTTGAATAGTACTTTCTCTGATGCGTCAGAGATAGTGTTAGCCATTTCAGTTATTTTAAGTTTCTCAAAAATTTCGATTTGGCCTGCATTTGTTTGTTGCTTTCTTTCCACTGACCGATGGATTGTCAGTTCCTCCTTTTGATATACATATAGCTAAGTTGGCAGTTTGAGGATACGTTTCAAAGCAGCTTTTTGAGAGCACAGGTCCAAGATGTTAAGGCGTGCACTTTGGATTTTCTTTGTTCAATTTTTGGCGACCATATGAAACCTACATATGTCATCGTTTATCTTAAGCTTTCCACATTATGCCTTTGATACAACGGTAACTTCTTTGGAATGTTTTATTTCTTAACTTCGCAGGGTTAAAGCTGTAATATTTGGCTTATCTCTTCTGGTTGGCACTATAGTCATTTTGCGATTTTATTTTATAAACATCTCACAAACAGTGACAATTTTATCTAATAAAACGCTATTAAAAACTACTACAACTTAGCTCCAGTTTGAATCGTTGGGCCATTAAGATTTAAGCAGGTTTATTAATAACGAAATAAAATAATTATGATAATTTATGAGTGATAGGCCTTTTTGTGGGTGATGAGGAAAAAACAAAGCAGTGCTTGGAGGCAAAATATTTAGCACCTAGAGCAGGCGATTTTACAAAATTGCCCAGTAGGTTTTTTTTTATCTTTCAATGCTATGCTGATTCCTCCTATATCAAGAAAAGCAAACTGTAATACAGTGCGAGCAAGAATATTTTCCTTACAGAAGCTTGTGAATCTGGTGTAAGTCATATGAAGCTCATTTAGCAAATCGCACAAGCCTTGCTCGTGCAGGAGTTTCAGTTCGATCAAAAATTCCATCACCATTAGGTAGATGATCGAAGCACGCCGAAAACATTTGTCTTACAACGGAAATTTACCGTCCCGATTTATGGCCCTGCTCGACCGA